ATTTATCTCCCCCATTTCCAGATCATTCTGCCACTGGCCAGAGACAAAAATTAGATCTAGTGTGTGTCCTCCCGTGTGAGTGGGGGCATGAACTAATTGGGTCAAGTCCATGGTCGTCATGGAGGCCATGAACTCCCGAGCCACCGCCGACGTTTCACCCGCCGATGGCAGGTTGAGATCCCCCATAACTATAAGTCTGTTGTTTACCAGCTAATATCTGCACAGCTAATATCTGCACAGAATGCAAAACAGATGAAAGGGGTACTGTTTGCACAAGGAATGTAGAAATTAAAACGAATGGATTATTAATATACTTCTACAGCTCAGTGAAAATCTTGGTTTTCACATTAACATTCTTCAGTGTCCATCATTCTACAGATATTTGACCAGTTTTATGGAAAAAATACAAATCAAAATAAATTTCCAGGGTTACAATGTAATGCAATAGTTTGAAATAACCCTTCACCATCTCATCACAAGTGGAAGTGAGGAGAGTCATGGCTAGGAGATGCTTCCCTGCTGCATCTCCCATTTTATGGAAACACCATTTGGTATGCCCTGATCCTGGAAGGTTCTCAGAAATTGTTTGAAATAGAGAGTTCTTCCACAGGGCTTTTAAAAATTAACAAGAAAATGCTGTTGGAATTCCTAATTTTTACTAGAATATCATGAACCTTTTCTCTAAAGACTGATAGCTCCAGTTTATTACACTCTTAATACAAAGGCACTCCTGTTTCCATGATGACTATCTGAAGGAATCCTGCAATCAGTCATCAGATGCTATTAGGAAAGCAATAGTTCTTTTTCTTTTCTACCAGATAGTTTTGTACTTAATATTCAAAAGCATTTTTGAATTTGAATGAGGTCAGAATGATACTAATTTCTCTGCATTACAAATCCAAATTCCTGTCATTATGATAGGTGGGCAGGGACATTTTTTCAAAAGTAGGAATTTACCAGCATGCAGAAGAATTCTTTATAAATCATGGCTGAATCACCAGTGAAACTGACAAGTTTCACTTCCAAAAACAGTATTTTATTGTTCTCACAGAAATGAAAGCAAACTATTTATTTTCTATGGAAAAAAGTATAAAGTATAATGTACTTATTGACGTTATTTCAATAAGAATTAAACAGTTTATATAGAACAAATTCTTTTCCTCTATATGGTTATCTTATTCTTTCCCATAATATTCAATGGGAACAAGTAAAAAACTAAATCAGCACACATTATGTTGGATTCTGAATATATTCTGTCAACATGGGATAGAATTATCACAGCTTTTTGGTATCATATGTATTTTGATCTTTAGTTTATTTCTTTTAAATGTATCATTTCTATTTGTCCTTTAAAGCACTCAGCAAGATAGTTAATAAAATGAAACAAAAGAAAAAGAAAAGTACACATAATCTCTGAATTGATTCAAAATCTGAATATCATTGTCCAGTAAACCTGAGATTCTTCCTCCTGGCCAGTAGAGACAGGAACTTTCTCTCCCCCCCCCTCTTTCTCACCCACATCAGTATGTTGTAACAAAATAACTAGAAAATCAATTATCATGTTCCAAGATGCTATACATTGGGTAACAGAGAAAGCCAGTGAGGTCTTGTCAAAGCCCCACAAATATGGATAAAATCAAGAACCAAGTATCACACAGATTTTCAGTAAGATGTATTTAATACTAGGCTGGCGTAAATACAAAAGAAGATCTGACTATCATTTATACTGAGTTAATTAAGGTGAAATCTCTTTGAAGGATTAGAAATGCTTCTTTCTAGTTTCTTTCTTCCTGGGGTAAATTGCTGTTTATCAGATAAGTTGTCAACTGATTCACTTGTTATCTGTTGACTATTTTTTCTACTTTCTCTGCCACTCCTTTCCCAGTCTTCCCTCTCACACTCTACTCTGTCACATGTATAGTGGTTAATATGTTAGTTAGACTAAGACCGGGGATATCCAGGTCATCAGCCTTAGTTTTAGAAACTCCCTCAAAACCTTTGTGCTTTTCACTCTTTCACAATCCAACCTACTTAGCAAGATTGTTATCATGGGAATAAAACAAAGGAGATCTCCATGTAACCTGCCTTAACCTCTTTGAGGAAAAGTGCAATGAAAATATTTTAAACAAATAAATAAGTAATATGAAGCTGAAAAAAATGCATCCAAGTGAGTTCAACTTGTGAAGCTTGTTTGGTCAGCAAAGTTTTCTGTTAGTGAAATGGGAACCTGAGCAATTTTAGATTTCTTTAACTTTTTTGTTCTGCTTGTAGGAAAGAATGGGAAATCACTGAAAAATCACCTCACTATTATGTCAGTGAAAGAAGACTGCTGGATTAAAGAGCTCTCATCAATTTTTGACTAAAAATAAGCCAAGCCCTGCTACCTTTTTTGGACCAGAAATAAAAATTAGGGAAGGGTAAGAATTGTCTACCAGCTTCAATGTCTTTAAGAGATCTTCTGGAGGTCAGTTTTATGTCAAATACTTTGTTCTAAAAACTTTTGTTTTCAACAGCAACAATCTGGAGATGAAAGATTTTACTCTATTCTTCCATTGCTCCACTGCTGCAGGAAAAGATAATGTGAGATGTGGGGCTCTGTGGGAGTAGGGGGTTCTCCATTCCATTCTTGAACTGAGAAACCAAGTAATCCTCATGTGACTTGTTTGTGAATTTTGTGAAGTACCCCATAGTTACATTCCAAAAAGAGTTTATCATTTCAGGGGAAGATCTATCCATCTTAAGAGTGTAATAGATACTCTTGATAAGCTATCAAATTCTACAGGTTTAACTTTAAGGAACATTTTATACAAAATATGTTATACTTGTCACTATGTTTACTAACAAATTTGTGGAAAATGTATTCATCCTTGAAAATATCTTGGCACTGGTAATGAATGATGCTAAAAATATAGTTTACGAATGTCTTTGATTTTTAAAAATCCACAGAGGATCTAAACACAAAGTAAGACTTTTGTTTATTCTTCTGATACAATAAACACTTAAGTGATATTGTAAACTGCTTTCATAGACAACCCCCTCCCCCATTATAGGGTTTTTACAGGTAAATATAGGTAGGTCGTAACAAGTGTGTCGTTGCATGTGTTCATTTCTTGCAATGTAATCGCTATCTCTATAACTCTTGTTGAATAAAGTGGACATTATAAATATACCAGATGAAGAATATTTGAGCCATTAAAAAGCTAAAAGATAGTTGCATACTTTTCTCATTGCTGAATTCAAAAAGTTTCCGATAATTGCTAATAAAAAAATCAGACACAACAATGTTAATCAGTTCATTAGCACTATACCTGATGTCTGGTCTGTGAGTTCCTTCGTCCTCTGCTGTAAAATGCAATTAGAAATAAAGTACATAAGAACAGGATGAAGAATGTAAATATAAAAGTCACAAAATGTAGATATTCCTGAAGCTTAGAATAATGTGAAAATAAAAAACAAATACTGGGTTCTTAGAACCAGAGTAGCATAATAATGATTGGATGCAATCTTCCCTGTGAATTTAATCAGGACATTATATTTATTTTAGGGTTTATGCTCTCTGAAAACTTGATATAAAACATAAAGCAAGACACTTAACCAATGGAAAAAAGGAAATTACAGAGAATGGGGTCAAATTCTGTAATCCAAATGTATTGACAAATGTGTACATAAAATTTTAAAGCCTTATTCTCAAGCACTATTTTGCTAAAAGATATTTTTTTCCTTGTCTCATGTTCTATGTATAGTGAAAATATTTTCTTAATCTTTTCTACAACTAGTTTCTAATATGGATAATTATCATGGCAAAGAGAATCACAGCATTACAAGTTTTATTAACATTCTTTGTTGTGTTGCACATAGCGATTTGTCCATATTAAAAACTCAGCCTAAGGCTGAGAATTCTTCACCAGCATGGAGGAATTTTTCATTTTGGGTAAATGGGTTGAATAAGATAATGATGGCCATGTTGAGTCTACTAGTAGCAGTTGCAGATATAGATGTAATGGGAGGTAGGGTTTATAAGTAAAACAACCACACAATGCATGAGTAAAGGGTTTGATAGATTTGGGGCAGTGATTTTGATAGGAAGAAGTCTTTGGTGTAAATCAATTATACTAGCATAAATCTCATTATAGCATTTTAAAAAAATAAAGCACAATTGCATTAAAAATAACTTGCATAAATGAGAAAATGTAGTATATAAATGATAGGCTTTCAATGGATTGATCATGCTAATATAGCTCAATTATTATTTTTATTATTCCTCATGTGCTTTGCATGTATATGTGCATGTTTTAGAATAGAATAGAATAGAATAGAATAGAATAGAATAGAATAGAATAGAATAGAGCTGGAAGGGACCTTGGAGGTCTTCTAGTCCAGCCCCCTACTCAAGCAGGAGAACCTATATCATCTCAGACAAGTGACTGTCTAGCCTCTTTTTAAAAATCTCCAGTGATGGAGTGCCCACGATTTCTGGGGGCAAGCTATTCCACTGGTTAATTGTTCTCACTGTCAGGAAGTTTCTCCTTAATTCCAGGTTGCTTCTCTCTTTAATCAGTTTCCAACCATTGTTTCTTGTCCTGTCCTCTGGTGCTTTCATGAATAATGTGACCCCCTCTTCTCGGGGCAGCCCCTCAAATACAGGAATACTTCTATCATGTCTCCTGTTGTGTCCTGAGCCTGCTGGAGTGGTGAGCAGGCTCAGAAATGTTGCAAACGGTCCCGGGCAAACCAAAAGCTGCCCGGGACTAAACTGGTTGGCGCCAGCCTTGTGCGCATGTGCAAGGTGTGAAAACAGCCAGTTCCTATTGGTTAACACTGTCTGGGTTTAGGGCCCTATAAAAGGCCTGGGTGCCTTTTACTGCTTGCTTGATTGTAGGACAAGATTAATAAAGAGCTTGCTTGTTCACCATGTGTCTTCGTCAATTGCCAACGAACGGAATACACAAAAGTGGTGACGAAGGTGTGATCCCTGCAAGCAAAAGAAACAAATAGGACTCACCAAGAGAGTTCGGAAGACGGCGTCCTGCACTCGCGACTCAGCCTGCCAGTATAGCATCGTTGGAGGTGAGCTCGGCAAAAGGACGCTTTCTCAAAAATACTAGCTTGCAAAGGAGGCAATTATCAAAGGCCGTAAAAGTTTACGATGTCAAAAATTGGCCGCTTGACAGACTTTGATGTCTCCCACCCAGAGAGATGGAATTCATACGTAGCAAGGGTGGAGAACTACTTAGAGTAAATCAAATCAGGGAAGACAGCCTGAAGGCGGCAACTCTGCTTGTGCATGTGGACAGGAAGCCTTTGACATTGCGGAAAAACTAGTGGCAGCTGCACTTCTGGAGTTAGTAACGTACGGTGACTTGAAGAAGATGCTGAAGGAACATTTCTAGCCTAAATTGTCTGTCATCGCTTGGAGGCATGCGTTCGAGCAGAGAGACCAGAGGCCAGGTGAATCTGCTGCGGATTTCATCACTGTCTTAAGACAAGCGGCCAGGCCTTGTGAGTTCAAGGACCTGGAAGAGAGGCTGCGAGATCGTTTCGTGTGTGGCCTATGAAGTAGAGAACTGCAACAGAAGATCTTTGCGAAAGAAGAAGTATCGTTTCAAGATGCTTTAAGAGAGGTTGCAGCTGAGGAAGCAGCAGGCGGCACTGTGAAGGCTTTGCGGCTCACCAGGAACCCTCCAGCTACCGTGACTGTCCATCAAGAGATGCTCGAGAAGATTCAGAAGCGGATCCTGAAGAGGAGGTGGACAGACTTCACCAGCCAGCAGAAAGAAGGCCAAAGGGGCATCCAGACAAGGCCTCAGCAGCTCTTCAGTGCTTCGGGTGTGGAGGATGCCACAAGCGAGCTGACTGCAGATTCAGTTCTGCCATTTGTGGCAGGCAAGGCCACATTGCCTCCGTCTGTTTGGGTCGCCAGAAGGTCCAACCTCGGGAAGAATTGCTTCAGAAAGGTACCAGGGTCCCCAGCCAACACAAGGTGGGTTTCTGTGCATCGCGCAGGAGTATTCTGAGGACAGGGACACACAAGCCCCTTAAGAAAAAACTTCACATTGACGTGAAGTTGCAAGGGGTTCCCTTATCAATGGAGTTGGACACAGGGTCCGCTCTATCAATCATTTCACTTGACACATTCAAAAGGATTTGCAGCTGTAGTGGCCTTCGAGTTAAACTCAGGCCATCGAATTTAATACTCACTGACTTTCAGAATTCCAAAGTCAGTGTGAAGGGGGAGGCCATGCTCAAAGTGCAGCGTAAGGATTTTGAGGGCTTCCTGAATGTGGTGGTAGTTGGGGGTGAACGCGCGAGTCTTATTGGACTCGATTGGTTCGAGGCCCTTGGAATCCAAGTGACTGGGCTTCACAGCTTGCAAACGTTGGGCCTTGCTGTCGTGATTCCGTGCCAGCCTGTGTTCCCAACAGCTGAGTCTGGGGAATCTGAGGAGGAGGTGGAGGAGGCATTTGAAGGGCCATCAGGGTCAGAGGGAGGCTCTGATGAATTACAAGACTCACGGTTTGATGAAGAGCCTGGGCCCTCCAGTCGTATTCCTGATGAAGCTCAGCTGTGTGGGGAGAATGAGTCAGACTTGGAAGACTCACACCTGATGATTGATGCTCGTACACGCTGGCAATTAGCGAGAGCAGATCAGCAGCAGTCAATATGATAACTCCAGGGAAGGAGGAGAAGGCACTGAGAGGCAACGCCTTGGGACTGCTGTATAAAAAGGGAAGGTGTGGGTGGTGCTGGTTGCTGAAGGCAACCATTGCAAAGTACTTCATGGGATCATGTTCTGTTAGTATTGCCGGTGACTACTTTTCTGTTTGCATCGTGTTTCGTGTAGACAATTTCCTCCATTTGGATTATGTTTTGCTGGACTATTTTGTTTCTGGACTATTTGGCAGGTTTGTCACCCATATTAAAAGGGGTTTGTTTGGTTTTGAGTCTCCAGCCTATTTTCTCAACAGGGGTTTGGTCCTTGTGCCTTTAACAAGGATGGCTATAGGCTGGGATAGAACACTTTGCCTTCAGCCTAACCCCCTACTATTATGGAGCAGCTACGTGCTGAGAATGCCCAGCTCTCCCAGCAGCTGGCTTTGTTATCTGCCCAAGTTGCTCAGCTATCTGCCCATGTTCCTGCTGCTCCATCACCACCCAGGAGAAAATGCCAAGTGGCAAGGCTGGACAAATTTGATGGCAATCCGGACATGTTTCCTGTTTTCATGGGACAATGCCACCTGTATATCAGTGTGAGAGCGGCTGATTTCCCCACTGACCGGGATAAAGTGAGGTTTATGATAAGCCTGCTCTCTGGTTCTGCAGCTCGTTGGGGCACACCCCTGCTAGCCCAACCTAGTCCATTGATGGACAACTTTGTGGGGTTTTGTGATTACATGCGGATGATGTATGAGGACCCCATCAAGACCCAGACAGCTACCCAGCGTTGAAAGCTCTGAGGCACGGCCGATGCCCCCTGCAGGGCTATATCTGTGAATTTTGGCTGCTTAGCAAGGATTCAGACTGGAATGAGGCTGCGCTCGTGGACGCTTTCCAGGAGGGATTGTCAGAGGAGATGTTGGATGAGCTGGCCCGTGTTGATGTTCCCCCGGACCTTAATAGGCTCATTCATCTCTGTCTGCGGATTGACGCTTGGCTGCAGCAGCGAAGAAGTCGCCATGCCACCCCAGAGACCCGTACTGCCCCCATTGTGCGTGAGACCCTGGTCCAGAGGGAGGAGCCAATGGAGTTAGGTGCTGCCAGACCTCGCCTATCAGTGGCAAAAATGAACAGGCGACGTTCGGGGGGGGTTGTGTTTTTACTGTGGGAACCCTGGGCATTTGGCCGCTTTCTGCCCCAAGAAGCGACGAGAGGCGTCTGTAACTGAGCCTGTCCCAAGACTGCCATCTGCTCTCCTGTCGAGAAACGGCCCACGCCCAATCTGAAAGGCATTTTGGGTCGGGCATCCCACAACACCGAGCGACACCCTTCAGATGCTGCCCATGGACCCCCAAGGCATCTGATATTGGAGGCGCGCGTGATTCTCCCTAGGTTGCCCAAGGGAACTTTATGGATGCAGCATTTGTGGCTAAATGGGCGATTCCCCAATGCCGGGTGGATCCGCCGATGTTAGTGGAGATCATTGATGGTCGAGTGCTCCTGTCTGGGCCAATTAGGGCCGCCACGCAACCGCTATGTATGGCCATCAGTTCACATGAGGAGGCCATCCAGTTCTATATCACATCAGACCTGCATTTCCCCGTGGTCTTGGGACTGGCGTGGCTCCGGGTGCATGACCCACAGATTTATTGGTCACAGAACTTGGTCACCTTTCCAAGCTTACAGTG